TAAGGCATTTAATTAAGGTATAACTAAACACAGAAAATAAAAATAAAAAAATCATACAAGTCTTTATTTGTTATAGACAAATTGATTAAATTTTATCAATTTGTGATTTCTGAAAAGTTACAAAATCGTTCATTATAAATAAAATATAGGTTAGGTAATATGGTACTGCCATCTACAGGAGCAATGAGAAACTAATCGAAGCGAAGCCATCTAGTGGCCGACGCCCGTAAACATTCTTGTTGAATGCTTGAGTTGCTTACTCTATAACTAATTTATGTGTATTATCTATGTCAACAATAGCTATAAGTTTTTTTAATAATAGTACATATATCGCAACATACCTGCTCTATCTTGTTCAGAATTTCTATAGATAAAACGGTTGTCTGGAAGAGATCGGTTTTAGCGATAAGAAAGCCTATTGTACAATTCTACTATCTGTTGACTGTTTTTGAATGCTAATTGTGTTTTGGTGTGCAATTTTTTTTTTTATTGCCCTTGTAGGCAGACGAGCGTACAGCCCACCTGGTGGTGAGTGGTTACCGTCGCATATGGACTTCAGCAATGCCAGGGGCAGAGCCAAGCCGCTGCCTACAGTTAAAAATGTATTCTCTCTCTCTTTCACTCTCTCCCCGAAGGTGTTTGATAGCGATGATTAATCTCATTTTGATGCTAACCGACAGATAATTATGTAAACGAATCAAACATTATATCATTCAACGCTCATTCCCACGCTTTCGTATAAATACAGTAATCGGATGCTATCAGCCCTGAAAAGCTGAATGGGTCGTTGTGACCCCACAAGGGTTAGGCCAGATGAATGCGTCGCTCCCATCGCTAATGCAATACCCTGCGTTACTCTGACACGTAAATACATTTTGGCAGTCGCTATCGTTGAACGAAGGCTGTGGGAAATTGATGTCAATTTACCTACGCGCATCAAAATTGACGCAAGCTTCACATCTTTACATATACGAGTTTTCCTAAAAAATCTAGCTTACTTTTTTTTTATTGCTTAGATGGGTGGACGAGCTCACAGCCCATCTGGTGTTTAGTGGTTACTGGAGCCCATAGACATCTACAACGTAAATGCGCCACCCACCTTTGAGATATAAGTTCTAAGGTCTCAATATAGTTACAACGGCTGCCCCACCCTTCAAACCGAAACGCATTACTGCTTCACGGCAGAAATAGGCAGGGTGGTGGTACCTACCCGTGCGGACTCACAAGAGGTCCTACCACCAGTAAAAATATAATTGACGTTATTTGTTGACAATATTTTTCTTTGTATCTTTGGGCTTAGCCGTCAATTTTGAAAAACAGTAAGTATTTCATTGAAAATAACATCCAATATGTATAATCTATTCATTATATCGAATAATGTGACAGTTAATCATTACGTGTTTAACTTAAACGTTACGCTAATTCAAATTCCAATCCATTACTTGCGTTGACAGATGGTAATAACAAAAGACGAACGGATGTAATAAGTAAAGAGCCTTTTCATAAAGCGAAATTGGTTTTGGGACAATTCGTTTTTGACGCAAAATGATGGGCCTAAGAAATGATTGTCGCTTTCATTGGAGGGTTATATTCATAAATTTAGTAAACGGAAAATAGCTAAGCCTTTGATTTAGTTGTTAAATGCTTCAAACTTTGTTTAATGAAATTATGGGAAATGTCGTTAGAGTTGCTGTTTTTTCTTCTTTGTATTCAATTAAATTAACTATCGAGCTTATGGCTCACCTATTGTTAAGTTGTTACCCATAGACACTATAAAGTGAATACCGTTGCCTACCTTGAACTTTGTGGTATGAAGTCCCTATAGAAGAAATAAAAACAAAATAAAAAGCCTATTTAAAAAAAAACTTATTTATAAAATAAAAAAAACGTGTGGCACTCGGGAACTGCATTTTTATCAACTTATGCAGTTATAATTAAACAATGATAATTTCATATTAAAACAATAATAAAACAAGACCACGCTATTTAATAAAAGCAAAATCTTAACTGTCCCCTTCACACTCATAAGCTAGACCGCGCGAGAGAGAGATGGGCAGACTTTTCATGATGGGCAGACTTTTCATGATGCACATGCAGTGTGACGTCACGCCACGCGCTTATTCACAAACACTACACAAGCGCAACGTGTAAATGTGTTGAACGCGAGCTACATGGTAGGCGGAGTAAGGGGTGTAATGTTTTTTTCGTTACGGAATTTCATGATTCGGTCGCCGCGCTCAAGGCCCGCAATAAAAACTATGCAATAGCTTAAAAATCCATAAGTCTTGATCCCTTTTAATTTTGATTAACATAATACAATATATAGTTTCAAAACGACAAAGCTCACGTTATTATTAATTTTTAAAATTAATTTTCGCTGTACCATTACGGTAAACGCAGAACGGATCGGGTGTTTTCGTTCGAGCTGTGAAAAAAAATTACCAGATTCCGTCTTGGATGACGCCATCTATCAGTCCGCTGAAAAAGGGGCATTAACCCCTCGCCCTTTCAATTACCATCTTTGCCTTTCAATTTGCTCTTTTGTGGCAATCCTCATGCAATAAATTTAAGATTTGAAATTAGATACGAATCTTCGAGCATTGGCAAAATATTATCTCTATGATTTTATGAATTATTATTAGAATCAGTATTTTGAAACACAGTACACAAAGTAAATTCTAAAGCTCGTTTTTAAAAAAAGCTCTTCTCAGAAGAACTGCTGACAATTAAAAATCGTCTGATCTGCTTAGGAATTGAATAAAAAGTACCTCAAATATTACGCTTTAGTGAACATCGTGTATTAGCTTCTTTTGTAGCTTTAGTTATTTCCATATTGATATGATAATTAGGACGACTACAAAACTCTAAAACGAAACACCTAATTACATTTTTAAATGATTTGTCTTAATTAATATCCGATTGTCTATTGTATTCCGAGCGCTTTTTCACCGTTTGCATTAAGATCGCCATTGTTTTTTTTCACAATGGGATATATCCCACTCAAGGTCTATTAACGATGGGAATTAAAATAGATACAAACTGCCAAGGCTTACGAAACAATGTATATATCTAATGACCATTTCCCATGTGAATAACATCAATGATTTTGACCCCCCCCCGGTTTTTGTAACAAAAACAAGTACGCGGTGTTGTAACCTTAAGTTCATGAATGATTATTTTGCAAGAACTACTTATATCATTGACGCTTATAAACTATCAATGAATTATCATTTTAAAAAAAAACTTCATTTTCGATTAATTGAATGAGATCATGAGTAAATTCTGTGATTCAATCAGCGTTGTCCTGAATATTAAATCATGTCAAATGTCACTAGAGCAACGCCACTGTATAATTATTGGCTTCTTTTTGCAAAAGGATTATACTCGTAGATATAATAATTAATTATGAATCGTATTAAATAAATATATACAAATTTCATTGAATAAACTCCTTTATGTATTGTATCGCTTACAAGTTGTGAAAACTCAAAATACAAATTAGGATAATCGAATATTTATTTGTAAATTCACACATGTTTATAGTGCCCCGATGTGCGCATCATAATTAAAATTTAAATAAAACAAATGAAGACCACTTGAACGTTTTGGGCTCGTGTCTTTAGTAGTATATACATAGTAGTAGTAGTAGTAGTAGTAGTAGTAGTATAATATAGTATATATGTAGTTGTATTATTTCAGTCGCTCCGAATACTTTACGGTTTTTGTGGTCACGGAGAATAAAAAAAAGCGTGATTAAGACGTGAAGGTATTTTTGCTGATATCTACGGCTCGCAAAATCCAAAAAAGTTAACTGCATAATATGTTGTTATTACAACAACAGGGGGACAAAGTTGTTCGCGTCCGTAGGAGCTACCTAACCACAACCCTATACGTGTCCCCTGGGTGGTGCTAAAGAACAACAAACGCCGAGTCGTAGGCGGCGGTCAACTAACCTACTAGCGGGCTTAGCAGCTAGTTCCTGTAGAAGTAGGAAATGACTTCTTCAAGCCGTAAACTCGCGGTCATGTCTCGTGAGANCGTCTTGGATGAAGTTAAACGATACTCAGCCAACTATAAGAACCGCTTGAAAGCTCACCCAAACCCGTTGTCCAGCTTACTATTGCAGCCAAATCCGATTAGAAGACTCAAGAGAGCCGACGTGCTACCCTACTAAGGAGAGACGGAGCATTGGCTCTGTCCCTCCAAACCAATTGTTAAATCACAACTCACCTGATTATAGTCTTGGCGACTGATCGCAGGTGTTAAAGTAGAAAAAAAAAAAAAAAAAAAAAAAAAAAAAAAAAAAAAAAAAAAAAAAAAAAAAAAAAAAAAAAAAAAAAAAAAAAAAAAAAAAAAAAAAAAAAAAAAAAAAAAAAAAAAAAAAATTACAACAACAAAAAAACCACAATTTACAAGTGAAAACTTAGATAAACTCCATTAACGAAATAGTCATTATCATTTGTACCAACCAACCTTGCTGTTGTCATAAATTTCTTCCATCATATTTCCATGTTTATTAGTACAGGGCGTAGCTGACAGCTATTTTACCGTTGTTCTGGTCGTTATTATTAGCTATTACGCACAATTAATTAACATTTTTTCCTTGATCTGTTTTGAAATGAATGATTAATTACTGCTTTGAGCTTTTCTGTATGAAATATTAAACGTAACTGGTTTTCGGGATACAAATACCGGTGGCAGAACCTCTTGTGAGTCCGCACGGGTAGGTACCACCACCTCGCCTATTTCTGCCGTGAAGCAGTAATGCGTTTCGGTTCGAAGGGTAGCCGTTGTAACTATACTGAGACCTTAGAACTTATATCTCGAGGTGGGTGGCGTATTTACATTGTAGATGTCTGTGGGCTCCAGTAACCACTTAACAGCAGGTGGGCTGTGAGCTCGTCCAGCCATCTAAGCAATAAAAAAAAAAAAAAAAAATTGTTTTATGTTTTTTAATTTCACATAAATTTATAAGTGCTGTTTTTTTTGTCTTTTCGCAGGAGCATATTAATTTGGTAGGCAACGATCAAAATCTGGGACCTGTCGTCATGTCTCTGAAGAAAGAACACATAGCTGGCCAGGAACAGACTAGAATACTTCTGAGGCTTCGAACAGAGACCATGCGAGGAACCATACCCACTGGTGAGCTTCAGAAGACTTGCATTTTAAAATATATATGGTTAAATCACTCCACTGAGCACATAAATAATTAAACTCGTACTGATATCTGTTACTTTCATTAACACGATTTAGTATATTATAAAAACGCCTAAAGAGTGCAATGTTGTCAGGGTTCATGCATCTGAGTGTCTTTATTCCATCTGAACTTTTAAATGCTTAAAAGATTTGAATGTGTGAGGTAACCCTACATAGTCCCGAGTGGCACAGGCCATTTTTTGGCCAGTCGTGTTTTTTATTCATTAACTATTTTTAATTGTTTACAACATTCAACTGGCAGATAAATAGTTTAAGTCTTATTAAAACAATTTTTTCGAGAAACCAACTTGTTCAATCTCTTTAAACTTGTCTAAGACTTGCCAAAACCTCATTATCTATATAATACTAGCTGACTCGGCAAACGTTGTTTTGCCATATATATTATAAGATTTCTAGGGAATTTCTAGTGTAGAAAAAAAACTAACTTGTTGTAAGTGTGTAAAAGGATGTGGTAAATGAGTGAAAGAGGCATGTAGCGCTGTGAACGATGAGGGAATATAAAAATAACAAAACCTCATTCAACCACATAATGCGTCATTATAACAAACAAAAAAATTAAAAATTAAAGTTAGGGGGGGACAACCCTTATCATTTAGGGGTAAAATAGATAGTAGCCGATTCTCAGACCTACTAAACATACATATAAATTTTCATACAAATCGGTCAAACTGTTTCAGAGGAGTATAGTAACTAACATTGTGACACGAGAATTTTATATATAAGATGTATACTAACTTCAATTCTATAATTGTTTTATTTAAATTCATTATTGTCCAACATAAATTTTCAGGATCAGGGCCGCTTTCTTCCCCTCTAAGAATGGCGAAAATGCTTAACGAAAAAGTTAATGTGGACAATTTCATGGCTGTCACTTGTCTGAACGCTTCATCGTTGATAGCCGCTTTTGATGAGCGCGTGTTGAACGAAAGGTTCAAGTTTGGAGTTCTCTACCAGAAGTACGGACAGACTACAGAAGAACAGATTTTTGGGAACAACGACACGTCACCGGCCTTTGACGAGTTTTTGGAGATGCTGGGACAGAGGATCAAGCTGAAAGATCACAAAGGTAAGTTATCACTCTGTAATTTAGTTTCATAACTGACTAAAAAGATGTGTGGTGTCGTGGGACACCGGATATGAACGAAGTTCCTTATTATAAAAATATTAATTTTAAGTTATATTCGAGGTATAAAGATAATAAAACTAGAGCTTTCGCAACAACCCACGGTCATTCGGTAACGTGCGAACTTATTGTGGTACACTTCATTCGCGGTTGTTTGCATAAGAGATAGTGTATTGCGCAAACGAACGCTCTGAGATCGTGGTCAATGAATGATAAAAAAATATGTTATTTTTTGTACGTTATTACAAAGTCAAGTCGTACACTGTGTGCATTACTAATAAAAATCTTACGTTACGGACGTTTTTTCCCGGTTAGGGTACCCCTCCGCATCGTCCCATAAGGAACTTCGTTCCAAAATCGTTTACTTAACATCGTAAATAACTGTATGTAGTAGCTCAAGGCATTTTTTCGAATTAAACCCTCCGGAAAATACCTTGAAAGCGTTGTCTACTTCGGAAAACTAATATTAGTTTTATTCTATCCCTCGAGTACGTTTGGTTTCTCAATCACGAGAAAGGTCTGGCACTGATTCTTGGAATCGTTGATCTGTGACCCTACTTCCTGGCAATCTGCCTGCTCTGGCCCGATCGCTCAGAGCCCGGAACGATGTGGACTCAAAATCGAGCCAAGAAAAACTATCGAAAGCCGGACGTGGTCTATTTGAGATTACTATTATCGTTTACATCATCTATTATAAGCTTAAACGGTATTGATGGTATGTTAACATATGAAAAAGAATATGAGATACCAATTCTAGGCGTTCATTTACGATATTATGTATACTCTATACTAATATATAAATCTACAGTGGTTTATACGGATGTTCCGTTATAACTACTGAACCATGCATCCGATTGACTTGAAACTTGGTATCCATGTAGAAAATACATGTACTTAATGGATAGGCTAATATTTATATGAGTGTTGGACTGCCTACTCCAGTTGCGGGGGCGTTAATGATGAGAATCTTTGTGGGGGTGAGAAATAATAATGTTCATTTTAAATGCCCAGCAAAGCGGACGTGTAAAGCTAGTACATAGATAAAAAGTTCTGAAAACAAGTTTTTCCTAAAGACACATCCGGCTACCTAAAGTGTACAGGATTAACTATCTTACTAACATACACACACGTCAGAGATTTATTTGGTTAGTTAACTTAAAAAGTGCTTGAATAATTATTAAATTCATGCGAATATTCAAACATTGACTACATAGATTTTCATGTTAGTCTCATCACCCAATAGTTTCCCCGCCCATTGAGTTTCTCACCGGATCTTTTCAGTGGATCGCGGTTTGAGCCCCGTGAGCTCACCTACACGTTAGGGTGAAGCTGAAATAGCCTCTCAAGGCTATCAGCATAGGTATTGAAAAAAAAAGTTTCCCTTTTATTTATTATAATATTAAATCAATAGTACATGCATTTGATTCTATGTTTCCCAATGTAATACTTTAATGTTTACAAAGGTTATCGAGGAGGTCTTGACGTGACGGGTCACACCGGCACTGAGGCAGTCTACGAGCAATACCACAACCGGGAGATAATGTTCCACGTGGCGCCACTGCTACCCCACACTGCCGGAGACGCGCAGCAGCTGCAGAGGAAACGACACGTGGGGAACGACATTGTAGCCGTCGTCTTTCAGGTCAGCCCAAAGTATATCACAAACTAGATAGCTTACTGGTGGTAGGACCTCTTGTAAGTTTTTTTTATTTTTTTTTATTGCCTTTATAGGCAGACGGGCATACGGCCCACCTGATGGTGAGTGGTTACCGTCGCCCATGGACTTCAGCAATGCCAGGAGCAGAGCCAAGCCGCTGCCTACCGCTTAATACTCTCCATAAGCCTCGTTTGAAGAAGGACATGTCATAGCGCTCGGGAAACACCGTGGAGGGGAGCTCATTCCATAGCCGGATGGTACGTGGCAAAAAAGATCTCTGGAAACGCACTGTGGATGACCGCAGTGGCTCCAGGTAGTATGGATGAACTCTACTCCGGTGNAAGAAGGACATGTCATAGCGCTCGGGAAACACCGTGGAGGGGAGCTCATTCCATAGCCGGATGGTACGTGGCAAAAAAGATCTCTGGAAACGCACTGTGGATGACCGCAGTGGCTCCAGGTAGTATGGATGAACTCTACTCCGGTGGCGGGCGGTGCGATGGTAAAAACGAGATGCTGGTATCATCTCGAACAATTCCTCAGAGCACTTCCCATGGAACATACGCGTCCGCGCGGGTAGGTACCACCGCCCTGCCTATATCTACCGTGAAGCAGTAATACGTTTCGGTTCGAAGGGCGGGACAGCCGTTGTAACTGTACTTGATATCTTAGAACATATGTCTCATGTGGGCTGTGAGCTCGTCCACCCAAGTAAGCAATAAAAAAAAATAGATAACATAATTACTAATCATACATCAAAGTCTCTACTGAAATATTGGAGTATCTTTTATATAAAAAAGGGGATATAGCATTGTAATATCTTCGGAATAAGCTTCGGACGCGCCCGAGTTATTTTACTAAAGATGGTATTATATTTGTTTTTCACTTAATAGATATTTCGAGCTCGGCAATATATTATATCGATTTGTAGTTGTTCTATCGTACAGAGTTTTTTTCGCTTACAGCACAATTTAATATTTAAACAGTAAATATTATATATATGTAGATGTATATAACTCCAGAGTTCGTCCATTTGTTTTAGCGGAGTAGCAAGTTCTCTGGACAAACGACGATTGCGTAATCTTAGAAAAAAAAAAACCATAAAAAACTGTTTGTAGAAAACGTAACGAGAATAATAAAATTCCAGTCGAACTGACTATTGCGAAGTTCAGGGGCAATGTAAAGTGCACTTTAAAGGTCAAGTTGCGTTTTAATACGGAAATAATTTCCACGTATTATTAAAAAAAAATGTTTTTCAATAAAATAACGTATGAACTACATTTAATACGTATTTAATTCGTGATTATAAAAAAATTAAAAATACCCTCTATCTTCTTTTTAATTTTAGAATACATCACTGATTCCAAACGTTCTAAACATGAAAAGAAATAATAAAATATATTTGAATAATTAAAACAATTATCAAAATCTGTAATCTAAATACGCGATTAGCGAATAAAATGTCACAGTAACATTGTGTTCACGATCAGGTGGCTCCGATCATCTTCCATATGCAGCAAAAAAGTTTTGTGCGCTGAATTAGTCAAACTAAGCATAATTCACTTTGCCTCTCTTAAGATTCATTTTGAATTTTTCTATACTTTAACGGTATATATGTTTAATCTTTAAATAAATCAATCTGGTATTAGGAAAAGGCTATTTGAGGTCCAACACGTATTGAACATATAACGGCTGTCTGGTGTAGTGGTAAGTGACATGGTCACTGCACAAGGGGGTCGCGGGTTTGAATCCCGCCAAGGGAAGATATTTGTATGATAAATATAAATGTCTTTTCCAGGGTTATGGATGTATATTAAATATATGTATGTGTATAATAAAAATCTTACATTTATTTCCCTTATCTGGTACCTGTAACACAAGTTCTTTACGAACTTAGCACGAGACCAGTTAACGTGGCGTGATTGTTAGTAAATATTTATTATTATTATTATTATTATTATTATTATATAGTTTAATCTTATATTAGTAGTAAGATCGCAAAGGATTAAAGTGAATATTGTGTGCATTGAATTAATTAGATACTAAAATAACCACACAACATTAGTCCGAACAGTAGCGCTCGATTTTTAAGTTCGTATGAAATCGCAATGTCCAAAAGCAAGATTTGTTTTTAAGTCCTATTTGTATCTCTGACATTTCGGATCCGTGTGCTTAGTGCGAGTTTTTTAACGTTCTAGAAGTTAACCCAATTTTGTATGCAGTTTGAACAGTGCCCCTAGCGGCAAACGTAGGCAAACGATCCCATTCCATACAAATATGAGCTAACTTTTACGCTATCGAAAACGTTAAAAAACTCGCACTAAGCACACCGATATCGAGATAATAATCTCAAGAATAACATACGTAATTACAGGAGAAGGCGACTCCGTTCACACCGGACATGATCGCCTCGCACTTCCTACATGCGTTCATAGTTATCACGCCAGAGTTCGTGGATGGGGAGACCAGGTAAATACATGTGCTATTCAAAATATTAACACGTTCAACGCCATAATATGAAAAATCGAGTCTTTTTATTCAGGTCATGGTGCTCACTGGTGAGCCTTATGTTACTGAACCATTCGGCCCACGAGGTTTGTTTTTTTTTATTGCTTCGATTGGTGGATGAGCTCATGGACTCATGGTGTTAAGTGGTTACATAATGGGTCACCCGTGAGCCTTTTAAAATATTTAAACTAGGTGATAAAAGTCGCAATTTTTTATATTCCGTGCAAGTTATCGCATTTTAAAAATCTCAAATTAAAAAATAATATATTTTGACTTGGCCCGAACGGTATAAGTATGCTAAGCCCAGCGGTGGGTCGTAAAGCGTACAATGTGTTTAATGTACATGATAAAAAATGCTCTAGATTACTCCGTAAATATCACGAAAATCATCTTAAGATTTTTAAAGTCGAAGTCTGAATTTTCAACGAACAATAAAGACTCGCGCGGCTTTGGATTACTATCTATCATAACAATGGCATAAAATTGCTTTTTTTATAGTACTACAACTATGCACGAACAAACATTTTAATTATGTCTTCTCAAAAGGCGGTTGACAGTGATTTTCTCGTCCGCGACAAGTTTGTCACTTTAAACGACCGACATTATTAGCGCTAGAGGAAACTGAGAAAATGAGTCGGAAAGTAGAATGGAAATTTTCATAGTGATTAAAATGCAAACGAACCCCGACTCTGTAATTAGTTGTTTTGCACAAAACAAACAGTTTTAGATGCTAGACATCGTCGAACCGACAAAGAAACTGTATTACATTATTCAAATTATTATTTGCAACAATATTAGTACTAATATTATAAATGTGAAAGTGTGTTTGTTTGTCTTTTTTTACGTCGAAACAACGGATTTTTAAAGTGATAGTATTAGGTCAGAAAAGTCACATAGATTCCCAAAAAAAACATGTGATTTCAATAGAAACACTGACACTTTTGATAATATGCCAAAATGTTTCAAGATTTATTGGTTACGTTATAATGTTATAAAATACTAGCTGACCCGGCAAACGTTGTGTTGCCTTAAATAGGATTTCTAGGGAAATTCTACTTTAAAAAAAAAAACCTCATTTAAACACATAATACCTCATTATAAACAAAAAAAATAATGCAAAAAATTAAAATAAAAAATAAATTTTTGGGTTGGACAACCCTTTTCACTTAGGGGTAAAATAGATAGTACCCGATTCTCAGACCTACTGAACATACTATTGATACACAAATAAAACCAAAAAAACATGGCTGAGAAATGTATAGTATTGTATAGCTCTCAAATATATAGTGTATAATCTATGATGTATAGTGAGTAAGTAAGACAGGAGACCGGCTTCGTCCTCATCCCTACTACGTGATGTTTGCTGGATGAGTGGTGACACCTGGCGGGGATAGCTGATCGATTGATAGTTGATCAGTAGTCGACCGGCGAGGGCGGGAGATCAAATTCAATTTAAAAAAAATCATAATTAAAGGAACTTGAAATTATAAACTCTGAATAAGAATTTATCGTACTACAATTATAATATTTGATTGCCATCTTGCAACCTTATTGCGGATTTGTGCATAGAATAAAAAAAAAAAATTATCGGGATGGAAAAATAGGGGTTGATCGTATAAGAGTGAAAATTGAGAGTAATATGATTTTTTTTATTTGAAGTCATGACAAAACAAAATAAAAAACTTGCCAAAAAAATTAAAGTTTATAATTAACAAATAAAAAATAGGGGTTGATCATAGAGGGATGAAAAATTGAGAGTAACATCAGATTTTTTATTTTAATTCATGACAAAATAAAAATAATAATGAAATTCTTGCCAAAAAAATTAAAGTTTATAATTAACAAATAAAAGTAGGGGTTGATCGTAGAGGGGTGAAAAATTGAGAGTAACATCAGATTTTTATTTTAATTCATGACAAAATAAAAATAATAATGAAAATCTTGCCAAAAAAATTAAAGTTTATAATTAACAAATAAAAGTAGGGGTTGATCGTAGAGGGGTGAAAATTTCAGAGTAATATTAATTTTTTTATTCTACGTCATGACAAAATAAAAACAAAATTCTCGCAAAAAATTTTAAAGTTTTTAATTAGCAAATAAAAAATAAGGGTTGATCGTAGAGGGGTGAAAATTTAGGGTTGTATGTATTTTTGTATGCTGTATCATAAAAAAATAAAATAAAAATTTTTTGTCTAAAAAATAACAAATAAAATTTAGGGGTGGACCACACTTAACATTTAGGGGGATGAAAAATAGATGTTGTTCGATTCTCATAGATACCGGATAAGCACAAAAAATTTCATCAAAATCGGTCAAGCCGTTTCGGAGGAGTATGGCAACGAAAACTGTGACACGAGAATTTTATATATTAGATAACGTTTGTAAGCGACACTATATAAACCATATAAAAATTATTATTCGTGTCTGTTCGTTTGTGTTCTACGCATTCGCGACTCGCTTATTCAATTGCAATGATACTTTGTATATTTATTTTTGGCATTCCTGAAGCAGCTACCCTTGAGTTGTTAGGTCTCCTTCGGAGGCGCTCGGGCAGCTATTAGCAAATCCCACCCCTCCTGGCTGAGCCTTTGCTCGCCCACCTGTCCTGGTGAAACTGGAAAGGCCTTCGGGCCACCAGAAATCCTCCCTTATTATATATGTATGTAGGAACGGAACGGAACGGAACGGTATGGATGAATGACAGATATGGAGCATGACTGAGTAAGAGAGATAGGAGATTTCGTGTAAGGAAGTAAGAAAGACGGCGAATGAATATGCGGAACACTTAGTTTTATTTTTTTATGCTAGAAGAGGGTAATTGCCGGAGACGACGGCAGACACACGCGGTGTAACTCTGAAGATGCAAGACGTTTATATTTTAGTTACGTAGATTAAGACGAAATAAAAAATCTAGTTTGTGTGAAGTGTTCAACCGTTTCACTGGCCCACCCTGGAGGTAAAACACACACATGTATATTAATAAAGATAAACCACGTTTTCAGGTACAAAGTGGCCGTCACCGCACGTGTGGACGTACCATTCTTCGGGCCGACTCTCCCGCAGCCGTCTCTATACCGTAAAGGAAGAGAATTCAAAGACTTCCTCCTAACGAAACTGATAAACGCCGAGAACGCTTGCTTCAAAGCCGATAAGTTCGCTCAACTGGAACTCCGGACTAGGGCGTCGCTGCTGCAGCACTTGTGTGACGACTTGAAGAGTAAGACTAGCGAGTTCATGGGCGCGCCGGCGAAGATCGAACCGGGGGCCGTGTCGCCGAAACCGGACGGAACACCGAAACAAGAAGGGCCCGGCTCTAAATTCATCATAACCGTAAAGAACGTGCTAATATCGAAAGTAAAGTAAGTAAGTTTTGTTATTATTTGCTGTCCATTAGCAGGCAAAGGCATATTTGTGGAAGGACGCGGGAACCCACCATTAGCAATTTTCACAAGAAAACCTTTACGTATGTATTCTGTAAAGGTCACGATTCTCAGCACTGAAGAACACGACGGAGGGAGCAGGAAAAATCATAAGTCATTCGGATATTATCTACGGCCTTCGCACCCCTTAAAACCCGTAGGCATAACTGCTTCGTGGGGAAACTAAAGATGGTTCTGGTCGTGCGAGCCTCGACCGAGTTTTTCCCGTTTTTTTTCCTTACTTAAGCTGATAGCCTTGAAAGGCTATATCAGCGTTACCCTAGCGTGTAGATGAGCTCTCAGGGCTCAAACCGGAGGTGTTGCTAACACTGGCCCTAGCAATAGCAGTGCTTTGGAGAATCTACTACGGGATCGGAAACGCGACCCACTGAGATAATCCGGCGAGAAACTCAGTGGGCTTTTTCCTCTTACAGTCTGTCGAGTAACAGGAAGTTTTAGTTGGGTAATTCCAATCGTACCGGGGATTCCGGGGAATTACTGTAATAAAAAAAAAAAAAACAGTAACTAGGATAGGTCTGAGATTGTGATTATTACTAAATTAAATAAACATAGAAATTTAGGTAAATTTCAAACAATGGCAACACTGGCGAACTACTTGTTTTAAAAAATGAACAATAAATAATGGCAGAAATGCTTAATTTTTTTTTGTTTTATTATGTATATAAAAAAAAGAATTATTATTCTAAATTTAAACTAACTGTTTTGTTTGTTTATTCCAGATCACCGAGTGTAGACACGAATCTCTCAGGCGATAACAACAAGAATTACGCGAACAAAAACAAATTCATGCCAAACGAGACTCACACTCCGAATGTAAGCATAAAACACATTTAGATATTCAATGTTCGGACGTACGGTCCCCCTGGTGTTAATTGTTTATCAGAGCCCAGAGACATCAACAAATTTTTCCGCGAAGTCGTAGTCGCCTAAAGGATAAGACGGCCCGGTGCATTCGTATCTAGCGATGTACCGGTGTTCGAATCCCGCAGGCGGGTACCAATTTTTCTGATGAAATACGTACTTAACAAATGTTCGCGATTGACTTCCACGGTGAAGGAATAACATCGTTTATTAAAAATCAAACTCGCAAAATTATAATTTGCGTAATTACTGGTGATAGGACCTCTTGTGAGTCCGCACATCCTCATCATCATCAGCCTATAGTAGTCCACTGCTGGACATAGGCCTCTTCAATTGTTCGCCACTGAGCACGATCTTCGGCTTCTCTCATCCAGTTCCTGCCAGCCACCCCGCACAGATCATCACTCCACGGAGTCTGAGGGTTTCCTGCACTGCGTTTTCCAGTTCGCGGTCTCTACTCAAGAACGCGTTTACCTCAACGATTATCGGTTGTCCGGCTAATATGGCCAGCCCATTGCCACTTCAGCTTACTAATTCGCTGTGCTATGTCTATAACTTGGAGTCCGCACGGGTAGGTTTTATCAATACAACAGCTAACCCACCCTTCAAACCGCATTACTGCTACGCGGCTGAAATTGGCAGATTGAGATCTACCAGTGTGAGCTCACAAGAGGCCCTACCACCAGTAAAAAATATCAAATCCTGAGCGCAAATTTTACTAATCATATCTTTTGTTTTATGAACAGAGCGGTCGTTCGAAGTCATCTATAGCGTCGTCGTCGGCGAGCGCAGTGTCGGTTCGTTCAGCCGGTGGGTCCGGGGAGTCCAGTCCGGATGTGACGTCACGAGCCGCCCCTCCGAGACCGCCGCTGAACGACCACAGCGACGACTCCAGCCTCAACTCAGTCGACTTGGATCCGCTTGGTCAGTATCATAGATACACTTAATGTCAGTAAGCAAATAAGTAACGGTAAAAAAAACGTAGTTCGAAATATGAATTTTAATAAAAATTCGATTTCTTTTGAACATCTATAAATCTAATATATAATATATAGATGTAATGTATAAATCTACAGTGATTTTTACGGATGATCCGTTATAACTACTGAACCATGCATCCGATTGACTTGAAACTTGGTATCCATGTAAAAAATACATATACTTAATGGATAGACTAATATTTATATGAGTGTTGGACTCCCTAATAATAATGACAATAAATAATAATGTTAATTTTAAATGCCGGGCGAGTGCGGCTAGTTGTTTTTTTTTTTTGAATTAGAATTTCAAATTTCGCAGTCGTGAAGTGACTAATGTTGCGGCTATATTATTATCAGGTTTTGTCGAATGTTCGAATTGTCTACAAGTAGAAAACGATATTATTATGTTTTGCGAAACCGACTGTCGTCTATTGCATGACAGAGAGTGGAGACTTCCCGAGCTAAATGGAACAGTATTTGATCACGACGAACCTCGTTCATCCAACCTCATTTCGCAACCCAAACCTTGAGTATAATCTGTGAACACGGATTTGAGACTAGTGTAGTGTTCGTAATTCGAATTATAAAGTCAGTTCGATTGATTTGGAACTTAGTAGGTACATACGGTTTTTTTTGTTGTAAAAGTGGTTTTTGGCAAATGATACTGTCATAAACAATTACAACAATAACCGGGTGAAAAACAGTGGCATCGCCCATGCGAATTGTAACGTCCAAATGAATGAACTTGTAATTTTATTAACGTTCACGTGCAGAAATTGCGCATCATTACAACTATCATCCACAATAGCCCTGTCTCTTTCTCTCTCTTTCCTGTCATGTTTCAAATTAACGTTTAATTTAAGAATATATTTAAATAAATGTGTACACATATGTATATTGAATAAAATTATTTTCCAATTAGACGACAAAGACTGGCTGACTTGTGGTAAAACAGGTTAGTCTCCATAACAAGTATAAATTATTAAAAAAAATACTTTTTTTTGTAGATCATTTTGAGCACGTAATCGTAAATTAGAAAATCTTTTAAATATTTATTATTCGCATACATTTATTTCGATTCACGTCTTATAGTGAGTAGGAAATATATTTTTGTCTATCTCTTGCACATTAATGTCACATTATTTAATTAACATAATCTTAGTCCATTTCCATTTAGTCATAATCTTAAATTGTATTTTAATAGTTAAATACTGTTTTTAGCGTATTCAGCACGGATGTAAAACGTTTTGTATATTTTTATCTATTAATAGTTGTAGAGTTTTTTTTTTAATAATAAGCTAGACTGGTGATGGTACGACCCACTTGATGGTGAATGATCGCCATCGCTCATGGAGTTTAGCAATGACCAAAATTTTATATTATAAGTACATTTTTTATATATTTTTACAATTAAAATCTAAAAAAAATACTTTCGGGAGCGGAATGAACATCATGTGGCTACCTGATATTATTTATTTATTCACCTAAAAATCTACGTTTTGATTTAACTGGAACGAATTTCCGAATCTTGTATTTTTACTGGTGGTAGGACCACTTGTGAGTCCGCACGGGTAGGTAACACCACCCTGCCTATTTCTGCCGTGAAGCAGTAATGCGTTTCGATTTGAAGGGTGGGGCAGCCGTTGTAAGTATACTGAGACCTTACAACTCATATCTCAAGGTGGATGGTGGCATTTACTTTGTATATGTCTATGGCCTCCAGTAATTACTCAACACTAGGTGGGCTGTGAGTTCGTCCACCCATCTAAGCAATAAAAAAAAAATAGGAACTAGAAATTATTTTGATACTTTACATTATCAATATTGCTTTTTTGCACACTTTTCTATCTTCTTTAGCTTACTCTTACCTACTTAATACACGTTACTTTCGTCTGCTGCAAGGAAACATGTTAATATTTTTGTTTACAATTAAAAAAACATGTATACATAATTGAGCCATGGACGTAATATGCCTGAACGAATTCCGTGTTCCGTCCAGCAGGCGGCGTATACGTAGACAGCGACACCGGTCTGGAGTCGATGTCGTCTGCGGAGGCGGGTGCGGGGTGCGGGGCGGGCGCTGCGGGGGGACGCGCCGACGGAGCCGCACCGCCGCGGGGGGACGCCGACCTACGACAAGAGGTCTGCAGGCTCAAGAATGACAAACTGGATCTACTCAAGCAGAACATTGTGAGTATAATTCTGCTGCTCTTCTGCGTCTTAACGCGTTAATTAGCGCCGTATTGGGTGGGTCGTATGCTCGTCTGCCTTCAAGGCCACTTCGACAAAGCGACACGACATGGGAACCCTCTCATCGTGGAATGCCGGTAACCACAATCCCGACCCGACATATCAAACCCGCAAAAATTATAATTTGCGTAATTACTGGTGGTGGGACCTCTTGTGAGTCCACGCGGGTAGGTACCACCACCCTGCCTATTTCTGCCGTGAAGCAGTAATGCGTTTCGTTTGAACGGTGGGTCAGCCGTTGTAACAATACTGAGACTTTAGAACTTATATCTCAAGGTGGATGGCGCATTTACGTTGTAGATGTCTATGGGCTCCAGTAACCACTTAACATCAGGTGGGCTGTGAGCTCGTCCACCCCTCCATCTAAGCAATAAAAAAGCAAAAAAAGTATAATTAAAATAGATAATATAATCACTAATCGTACATCAAAATCTCTAGTATCATTTATATAAAAAAAAAAGTAGCAACTTGTACACTTATATCGTAGGAGCCATATTATTGTGCAAGGTAGTGCGATTCTTAACGGTTCTTCAAACATATTATTTTTTTAACAGACCTGGCAGAATGAAATCAAGAACTTACGCGAAAGAGAAATATCTCTGCAAGCCGAGTTGGCCGCCGCGGCGAGGGAAGTCCGAAGGCTCAGAGAGCAACAACAGTCACTAAGCACAACCATCCCGAACCCTTCGCCACACGATTCCACGGCCTAATACGAACTTTGAGCCGAAGCCGCAAGGCTCAAATTAACAAAATCAACCCAACTCAAAAGGTGACGTGATTATTTATTAGATCTGATTGTGAGAAATGATTAGTTTAAACTGATACCTATATTATTATTGTCGTAGAATTTTTTGAAAGTCGATCATCGTAATAGATAAATATATCGGTGTCAAAACTTAATAATATTTATAGATACATGTTGTTCTCTCTTCTGTGTTGTGTGATTCATGTTATAGAAAAATATATCGACTTGATTTCTGGCAATCTTTATATACTTAGTTCAATGTTTCATCAATAGATGTCGTAATATTTCCGAATTTTAAAATTGTATTCTATGATTGTCTTTGCGTAAAACTATGCTTCGAATACAATTATATTATATTGTAGCTCGTTTCCGAGTACAAGAAAAGTATATTATAAAAATAATCTGTAGCATATGTAGAGAGAATGTGATTCGAATCTTTTATATGTTGTTATACGAAACAAGATTGTTACTATGTCTATAATCTAAGACAAATGCTTTTTGTAAACGTTGTGATAATTAAGCTTACTTCAAATTCATGCCGTTTAAAATTAAAAACCCAACAACTTATACAAATATTATATTTTGCACTCACACTATTATCAAATACGTTTTTATTCACTGTAATATTTTATGTATTTTGAAAAGACCGCTTGTGTTCTTCAACTTTTATTCTCGACTGCGGGAATGAAGACAGGTTATATTTATTAGTTAAGATCCATATAGAATCTTGATTTTTACCAATATTTCAAACGCTATTACTGTTCCACTACACACTTCAGTTTTCCTAAAATGTATATCACGCTCATATCTACAAATACTAATTTAGAAGAAGCGTAGTTCGTTCATTCATAGTTCATTATTATAAATTGCGAGCGTTAGATGTTAGAAGAAATTTATTAGTACTGAATTATTAAGTGAAAACTTTATGACGTCATATGTGGTGTTTTAGAAATTTCAATGACTCTTAGTTTTGACATAGTTTGACTTATTTACATGATTTCCCAGTACATATTTGTACGTAGAAGTACGCATTTGCAATTATTCTTTTGGTATTGTGCAATCTTCTGTTCTTTGGGTAATTTAGCATAATTTAAGTATACCAGTTAATGTACATATATGGCGACTGGACTATTGATTTCAATAAGAAAAGCAGTATTTTTTTTTTTCATAATTTATGCTTCGATTTAAGTTCGTTTTGAGTGTTCGTTTGATTACGTTTTGTTGTTTATAATTAATATTTTATACCAAAGCTAACATTCCCCACTAAAATAGTGTAGGTTTTTTTTTTCTAGAACCAGTATTCAAGGTTTGATTGATGGACGTATGCTAACACAATTTCTAAGTTTACATTTAGCCTCGTAAATAAATGTATTCTTTTAGATATTTTGTTCGAATGTTGATTTAATAGTTGATTGTAACTAACTGTTGATTCGTCTTCATTTAGACCTAAACCAAATATTGAGCGCGGAGCGTTAGAAAAGTAGTTTTTAAGAGATACTATTGAAATATATGAATAGTTACATCCTAAATAAATGTTGTTTTATTTAACGTCCAGTGCCTTTAACAAGTGCCTTTCGTCTGTATATTGCTAGATGGTGCTACTGTGCTGTTTAGTAGTGTTGATATGTGCCAAGAGATGGCTCTCTCTACAGCTTAGTGTAATTATTTTATAATAATAATTAGAAATAATTCTTTTTTTATTTATTTTATTTTTATAAATAATTTTTTTTACTAACAATCATGCCACGTTAACTGGTCCTGTGATAAGTTCTTGTAGAACTTGTGTTACAGGTACCAGATAACGGATATAAATGTAAGATTTTTATTATACACATACATATATTTAATATACATCCATAACCCTGGAAAAGACATTTATATTAAATTTATCATACAAATATCTTCCCTTGGCGGGATTCGAAGCCGCGACCCCCTTGTGTAGTGACCATGTCACTTACCACTACACCAGACGGCCGTTAAATGGTTAATGGAAGTGACTGTGACTGTGAAAGGTTTCTTTTAGTAGTAGCGCGTAAGCGCGTAAGTGCAATTTCCTCTTTCGAGATAATGGTTAGAAACTGAATCTTTGATCACGTCGTGATAAAAATGCATCATGATTGTTGTATTTAGAGATACCAATCTAGACTAAAAAATGTCCATTGTGATTCGGAGGATTAGTATTTGAGGATTAGTATCATTCGCGACTCCGCTATAGAGCCCTAATATTGTAATGAACAAAACATTTCATAATACGTTAACATGAAATTTTGAGAAATAGCTCCATCTGTGCAGCTCAGTATTAACTGGGTAAATTTCTAGGACAAACCCTAATAGTTATTTTAATTTTTTATAGGTGTCGCTTTTCACAATTACAATTCCCAGTTGAAAAACAAAAATAAGAAAACCCGAAGATGCTATAACAGAAAATGGGAAATACAATGGCGTTACAGAATACATCCTAATTTTAAATATAAAACAATGTCGAAAACTTTGTTTTGTAAGATTGAAAAAAATAACATTGCTTCGAAAAGCACAAAATATTCAGTTTATAAAGGATTCAAAAATTAATATAAAAGCGACGTGGCAAATCATCTAAGCAATAAAAAAAAGCATAAAAAAATCCGTTAACAATAGAAACACGCACTCTTTCCATGGGAACATTTTTCACTGTCAATCGTACGGATTATTTTAGGGACTCCAAATTATCATGGCGTTTAGAGCAAGCCGTACTCTCTAAAACTAACCATAAATCATAATCCAGCGGATTAAGATCGGGACAAGACGACGACCAGTCTTCAGGTCTGAAGTCCGAAACGTTCGTTTCCAACCAAGACTACGTAGACCGAGCTTTATGACCTGGCGCCGAGTCTTGCTGGAAGGACCATTCTTGATTATTGAACATGGTGTTGTTAAGGGGCTTCACTACCTTCTCAATAATGGTATCTTGATACACTTGTGCCGATGTTTTGATACCTTTTTCACAAAAGTTTGGCTCAGTCACTCCTTCATAGCTAATACCCCACCAAACTATCACTGAAGTCGGATAGTGCCCACGTTGCGTACCGCTTCAGTAGTTGTTTCGATTTTACCACCCTATTCTCTTTTAAATTATCAGTTAAGAAATGACCAGTACGTCTCTTATAGGGTGCAAGTCCTAAGTCATCTTTTAAAATACGCGACATGGTTCTAGGTGCTATCTTCATCTCCCGAGATAAAATCTTTTACTTTCAGACAGGATTTCTTCGAATTCTTTCCCTTACTGCTTTGACCACCTTTTTCGTACGAACACTACGTGGACGGCCAAATCTTTTTCTGTCACAAACAGAAGAGGTCTCATTGCACCTATTAATAGCCCGGTACACAAACATTTTACTAATACCAAGCGTATGGAGAGTTTTAAAAATTGCATTTGGCTCCATACCTACTTTGTGTAATGCAATCACAGCGATTGGGTTCTCTTTATCACCCCACTCCATTTTAATATCGCAAAATATTGTACAATGAATGTATTGGCGCCAAAATGAGAAAACTCAATGAGCAATCATGTAAAAATGACAGATTCCAAATTCAAATGTAATATTTTGTTTATTTTTAATTGTAACAGCATTTATGGCCAGACTAAATATATACGGTACATACACCAATATAACATTTTTTAAATTTTTTATCTGTCTGTCTGTTTGTTCCGGCTAATCTCTGGAACGATTGGACCGATTTTGAGTAACTTAGGCTATTTTTTTAGACTAGCTTCGTCCCGCGGCTTCAACCGCGGTACGACAATAGCCGCGGGTAATATCGCGGGACTCAGCTATCAATAATAAAATTTAATGTTTCCGAAGCGTAGCGAGGGCGGGTCGTTATAACACTATCTACGTCTCGCGAAAACCGAAGAAAATACTATAACAAATCTTTATATTGAAGGGAATGCTTCCTGGTAATCTTAAAATATCTATTGTTAAACTTCTGTGCAAAAAGGTACCGAACAAACAATAACTTTTTAATGTTCATGTCAAACTCTATAAAATATGCACTTTTATACTAACTGTCCATAGGGTTAGTATCGTAAAGTTTTCCTCCAGCAGCAATGAGACAGCTCATAATTCTTGATAGTAAAACCTTACAAAGATACGAGATATCGCTGACTATAAATCTAAACTTTACGCTACTTTGTTCGAATCTATATTCTCATAGGCTATTTGATACATATACATATTATAACACCTTGTATTAATTTGCTATTTGAATTTTAGTAATAATTTTGGAACGTATTCACTCCGGGTTTTGAAATTCGCACCCACAATATTTTCGTTATTAATATGGAATTTTAAAATATTATGTTGCTTAAAGTAAACATTTAAATTTGCTTTCAACAATATTTAGAAGAAGTTTGAAGAAAAAAAGTTTTAGAAAAATTTATCATTTTGAACAAGAAAACTAGAAAAAAAAGAAAAGAAAAAAAACACGGATATAATCTTTTCTATTAATCCAATCGTTTTTTTTTATCTGCTATACATAGTTAATGAAATAAATATTTCGTTTCTAGCCAAATCTTTTTCAATTTCGTATAGTCAAAAGTATTCTATTTCAATTTAGTCTATCTAGTCAAAGTATTGCACTTAAATGTAGTGCCGTGTGCAAAGAGTAAATGTTCTTAAAACGTAACTGAAAACAAATCTGCTTTCGTACCGAATAAGTACGTGATTCCAGCTATTTCCGGTCGCTGGTTTCGTGAAAAGTTAGATAAAATTACGAGTTTATTTCAAAAGTTTCTTTAGAAATCGTGGCTTTTCTTCGCGGAGACACTCGACGGGAATTTTGATGTTTGTCCCGTTTTCTAGTCTTGTCAGGAGTCATTTCAGCTTCAAGAAACAGAACACATATAGACAAGTCGCTTAGAATAGCGTAAGTTCATGTTTAAGCTACACTGTGATTTATTTCTGTTACTATATCGCACATCATACGGTGCAATAACGTCACTTATGCAAATTATGTAATTTTTCAGGAGAAACTTTGGAAAATACAACATCTTATTATTTAATTCTTATAATTAACTATTTATGCTAGGCTATAGAAATAAAATGATAATATTTAAACTACAACTTTAAACTCCATCAGTAAAAACAAATATCTCTCTCGTCTCGCTAATAACTATTAAAAAATGTATTTTCTCATACTTGGTTCAGTGTTAACAAAAATTGCATAAGTGACTTATAAAGTCATACACCTTATATGCGATATGTCTTTGTAATATTGTAACGGATAATATGATAAATTCAAAATGTTTAAAAATAATTATGTAGCATTTCATTTCGTTGCTCCGTTTGTTCAGTTATTAGTAATGCTAATAATTATATCACACAGTCCAGATTCCCGGTTGAACTCAATACTTACGTCAAAGACGTTTGGGGTCTTTGACGAAAACATCTCAGACGAAGTGTTTTTATGTCGAAGTAGCTACGAAGTCTTTCGTCTTTTTACATGGAGGTCTTTTTGTTTGAGTTTTGTGAGCTTTTTCTTGGTTTTATTTATTCAAGGATCACTAACTAATTAGCTCATGGCTTGTTTTAAAGTGGTTATATCTATTTTGGAGACAGCTGGTTGACGGAATTGGACAGAGTCACGATCCTCAGCAGTGAGGGACCGGTCGAAGAGAGAGAGAGATATATATCTATTTTATTTCTCAAAGAAAACAGACGCCGGAGAAAATAACAATAAAACCTCGTAAATCACAAACAAAGTAATGATTGATATTGTTAGACGCCAGTGAAACCGTAGTCTGAATATCGCCTAAGAACATCAAAATAAAACACTTTTTAGGGGCCTTCGAAGCCAATGTATGTTATTGGTTTCGGCACATTTCAAGTACTTTCTCA